AGGGGGGGGGGTTGTGTTTTTTTCTTTTTTTTTTCACTTTATTTTTATTTAAAAATGTATTTATTTTTTTACTGATGGGGGGGCTTCAGGGAAATATTAGGGGTCTAAACATACCCCTGAGATTGCCACAGTCCTCAATCTTTTTTTTACAGCCCCTGAGATTGCCACAGTCCTCAATCTTTTTTTACAGCCCCAGCACTGAACAGGAAGCTCTCAGTACAGAGGCTTCCTGTTCATTCAAAAACTGAGGAGGCATAGTACTCTTCCCAGTTATTCATTGGACAGGAAGCCTCTGTACTGAGTGTTCCTTTCCATTCATTAACAGCACATGGTGAGCTCACTGTGTCCCCACTTATGAATGAACAAGAGTTATGTAAGCTTACTATGTGCTCAGTTATTTACAAATACCAGTGATCAGCACTGATTAGGGATGCACAGATATATCGGCCGCCGAAACATATCGGCCGAAAATGGCACTTTTGGCATAATGTTCGGCCGATACATTGGCGCATCCCTGGTGACAGCCGGCCGAGCGCTGCAGGTCTAAAAGCAATGTAAAAAATTTAATAAATGAATTAATAAATATAAAAAAAAAAAATTAAATATTAAGATTTAAAAAAATTAAAAAAAACATTTTCGGATTCGGCCTGACAATTTTTTTTTATTTCGGTTTCTTTTCGGTTTTAAAATTTCCATTTCGGTGCACCTCTAGTACTGATCACTGGTGTGTGTTGTGCACACCAAAGAATTCGCAATATTTCCGCCTCCTACCCGCTCTCCATCATGACACTCTGCTCTCTTTCTCTCCTCCCCACTCAGCATCCTATCACAGCTCTGTCCAACCATAATACAAGTGGAGAGCAGTGGGAATCGGAAGGCACACGGATCCTAGTATGGAGCCGGCTGTCAGTAGGGTGGAGAGCAGTGAAGAGCCCCATGTTGCAGCGGGAGCCGCTTGTCAGCTGCTGATGACAGCTATTCATTTACAGGGGACCATCAGGCGGACCCTTCTGTTATAAGCGACCATGAGCTTATAGCAGAAGGGTAAAAGCCAGCAACGTAAGGCATACTGAGCTGGCCAGCTGGAAACTGGGTAGAAGGGAAAAGGTTAGGAGATCAAGCTGTCCAGTAAAAGTGGCAGCTTAAGGGTTGAGGCAAAACATTTAAAACTAACATTGGTAATTACAATTTTCAGCTTTTATTCATGTATATTAAACCTTTATCCCATAAAGGAAATAAACTGCTGTTGCTGTGTGCTTCTTCAGGGATTGCAATAATGACTTTTTTTTAAATCTCTCCCTAGTGCTAAGTAAATATTTAGTGTTGTGAACTATTTAACACAAATCAAAGTATATGTATTACCTTGAGACCTTCGTAGTAGCTCCCTGTAGACATTTTCTCCATGCTCTTAAACAGAGGGTTGCTTTTAAAAAGCTCCGACTTGATGATTATGTCTATGACCTTGTTAACTTTTTCTGCTGCTTTTGAAATATCATCCATCTTCAGTTTTAAGCTCTTTGCTGCAGCTCTCAAATGCTTGGAAAGATTTGAGTTTGGCAAACTGTTACTTCTCTTTGCTTGGTGTCTAATCTCACCTCTTTCCCTGTTTGAATTGGTTGTGTCTTCATCCTCATTTATTTTGCTATTTCTTCTTCTGGGACCATTGTTCACGGTTTTATTGCTGGCACAAATTGCCTCGGCTGGTCCCCCCGTCTCATCAATGCTGTTGGTTCGACTTAGGGATATTCCAAAATCATCTTGTTCTACCGATTTTGAGCTTCTAAAGGTCTTAGAGGTTGTCTTTTTTGGGTTGGTACTCAGACTTGGATTGGTTGCATCATTTATCTTTTGTATCTCCTTACTCTTTGCTCTGCGTTTTTCAGAGAACTCTGTGGTGCTTATAACTGTGCCATTGATAGTAGATGCTGAGTTTTCCATATTGCATGGTTGCTGATGCTTTCTTTGTGCTTTCCCATTTCCATCAGAGTCACCAGCATTAGATAGTTTAGATCCCTGCTTTGCTTTTGAGTCCCCTTCATTTCCTGACTCAGTCGAATTGCCACGCTGTTTCCTTGGGCGAGTTGTCTTTGAGTTCCCTTCATTGCCTGACTCAGTTGAATTTCCACTCTGTTTCTTTGGTCGAGTTGCCATTTTTTGTTGACCCTCTTATTAATGTCTTGTTTCAAGCCTTGCTTTTTCCTGACAACTGTACAGGCACGCTATAAACCTAAAAGCATCCTCTTTTATATTTGTGTCCTTGTAAAGATCACGCCCACTTCCAGAGGCAGAGAAACGAAACTGAAAATGTGACCTTTATCTGCTTCATTGTAGCAATATGCTTTAGAAATGAAGAAATGATTTCACTGTGGCAGTCTCTAAGCTGAAATCATTATTTAAAAGTTTAAAAAGCCACAGAGACGTCTCTAAGTACTACAAAACGTACATCAGGAGTAATACACCGAAACTATTTCATCTCTGTCTCTCTCCCTATCTGTTGTTCACTTAGAGGATATGGAGCAGAATTGGTGAGCCTGACTATTTTGGTTATGTGGGAGTTGGAAAATATTTTAAACAGCAGCTATGATATGCAAGTTGTTTTCAAGAATTTTGTCAGGGTCCCTAGAATGGAATAGAAAAAAGATAATCGATCCTCTCTCTCCCCCCCTCAACCCCCCCCCTC